ACCACCATTGGTAAAGACTGTTGAAGCAATATCTCCTTGAAGGCCAACACTACTACCTCCTCCATAGGCAAGTTTAATCTTTCTAAATCTACCGAAGTAGCCATAAACTTTGGATTTCTACCAAGAGAATGACTACCAAGTAGACCAACGAATCTTATAGTGTAAGGAAGTGTTCGAGAAGTTCTTTCCATAATGTGAGAATGTGAGATACTCTTTCCATAATCGTGATTTATATATACAGTCTCTAAAACCTGACCATTGATGGAAAAGTAATTATCACCAGCCAAAATACGTACAGTAAAATGGATTCAAATTACCTACAGACGAGAACGTACTCACTAATACAATAGTCTGCTGAAGATATGACGTATTGAGACTCTTGAATAGTTAGTTTCGCTATCCTAAAACACGTTCAAATCCGAGACGAAAAGTCAGAATGGCTATTTCATAAGACAACGACCTCTTGAGTAACTTCCATAGAGTGAAACATTGAAGGATGAAAATCTACGATTAGTAACGATAATTCGTAGACGTTATCTTTGTAGCTTGTGACTCATATCCTTGAATTACTCAAACTTGCTGTGATAACTACACCCTTGAAACATCTCACTTGATCAATCTTGAAAAGATTGAATTCCATTCTTTGTATCAAAATAATAAAACCATGATTCTTCATTAAATGAAAAGATCCTTTATGATACCGATCTTTGAAAACTATACCCTGTGGAATACGTGGCTCGATCACAATAGTAAAACTGCCCTAACTTAAACATTATGTTGACCCCTCTTGTGAACTACAAAACAGTTGATGCGATTACATTATCTGTGAAGATTATTATCGATGATGATGAAGAAACTCTGTTGACCCTAACAGAGGAACAATGACGCCACAGGGATCAAGCTGAATCATTCAACCGAAAATCCTGACCTATATGCGATGTTGGTGTAAGAACTCGTAAGGATTTCTTACCCTACGAATTCGTGAATTGAAACAAGTACTGAGGATATTCTCTTCTTCCCTCGAAACGAGATCAACCATAGTATCGAACATGTCAATATTATGAACATATCTTGATACACTTCCAAAATCGAAGAAAGAAAGTTGAAGAAGACAAGACATATATGAGACGCCACTCAAACGTCAACACCTATAAATACGAATTAATACAAAGACTCATTGACGATAATGAGAACTACCATGAAGTGAACAAAAAAATATTTCGATGTAAGATCAATGATGACAAGCTACTGTACAACCAATCGATGGAACTTCCTCATAAATGATGATAAAGTCCCTATTCTTAAAATCTTGAACCAAGGAAAGCCATTTGATGTTACTTATGAATCATTGCTGAACTATGTGAACAATGTGAAGATGTTTTGAGTGACTTGAAAGGTTACACTACGACATATGGGTTGAAACAAACTCTAAATCCCCAACTATACATATCGTGAATATGATGATTTGAAACTACAAATGCTATTGAAAGACCTTCAATCAAAGGAAGACGTTTTACAATTTAGAAATTGTGAATGAACAAAGATATGAACAAGTGTGTCAAATATATATGCCTCAAAATACGATGTTATACTCTACAAAGGAACCTTAGTTAATGATGATTAACTCCAAATGGAAATCTGGAAAAGGATCGTTGGATATCTTTGTTAATCTTTTAAAGACAGAATAAGTTTGATGATAGCAAAGGTTTGAGAATACGTATCCGTGTGAATAATGACGTAATTATGGTTTAACTGAAAGAACATGAAATGGTCATGATTAGTGAGATCACTATGAAATGTTGAACATTGAACCTTAGAAGAATTTCGAGGACGAAATTCCTTTTAGGGGAGGGGAGAAATGTAACGCCTTAAAACATACCATAAAATTTATTGAATTAAATTTTCAATTAAACAAATTTGTTTTGATTAAATTAAATTATTATTGGGCTTTGGGCCAGATATGAAATATGTTCTAAAGTTCAATATCACAATCTCGATAAATCTCATAGAGATAAATCCAATATATTGACTATTTGTGTAACCTTGATTAGAACCAGAGTAAAGACCCAAATCAAGAATAAATTAAGAAAATGACTTGTGATGTAAATATTGAAATGATTTATTAAAATAAATCATGGGAATAAATGATATGCGAGAACCTTTTTGAATAAAGGTCAATTAAACCAATTTTGACTCTGTCAAAGTTATACACCCGAAAATATAATGTTGGAAAAAGTATTACAAATAAATATAAAAATTATATCGTTGAATAGAGCTCGACTGTCTGATCGCGACAATGCAAACGGAATTCAATTCGGAGAAAGTTAGACCAAAAAGTGTACCCTGACTGGGACCAAATTAGTCCCAATCAGGGGAAGACATATATGTAAATTCCCAAATGCGCCATTTATCGCCGTTCGAATAGGAGAAGGTGACACAGAGCTTGGTTTTTCCTTCCCTCTCCTTCTATATAAAGGAACCCACTCCTTCTCAATTTTCCAGCATTCTTCCTCTTTCTTCTTCCATTTTGTTCTTAAAAGTGTGGAGAGTAGAGTGGTGCTGTCCCGAGGACTAGAGGTCACCGGAGCAAGCCGTGGTATTCACCGGAAGTTTTGCCGTTAAATCACCGGAATCATTGTTCAACTTCGAAGTAATCCCGTAGATATATCTAATGACTAGAATGTTCATATAGGTTGTTTCTACGTTCATAAATGGTTATTTGGTTGATTTTTGTGTTTGACATGCTTGAAGAACTAAGAATCATGAATTATGAAATTGTTGTTAAAATTATGAATTAATGATGCTAAAATGATCTATGAACCTTGGGGAACATTTTTATATAATTTAATTGAAGTTTGGAGAGTAAAAATGACATTTCTGCAAGTTGACTTGAGGTAGAAGACAATGAATAGTCGACTATCAACTTAAAAATAGACTATAGCTTGTTCTACAGATTTTTGGAACAAAGCTGACAACAGTAGACTGTCAGAATATGACAATCGACTGTCAGTCTCCTCTGAAGTTTGATAATCGACTATCAGAATGTGATCATCGATTATCAGCCCATTATGAACATCAGATAGTAGATTATCAGAAGTGATAGTAGACTGTCTCCCTACACTATTGAAGAAAATGAAGCCTGCAGCTAATAATTGAATATATATTAATCAATTATTGTTTAGAAAACATGATTTTTGAACTATGAAATCCTATTTTTGATACCAATTTTTGAAATCCCTACAATATAAATATGATTTTGTGCAATAAAAATGATGTTTTTGGCATATAAAACATTATGTGATGCATGACAGTAAGTTCGGGTGTTAACACTCGACGCTAGACCGCTAATTGTTATTGAATATTATGATGATTATTGTTATGTATGACTATTGATGATGAACCCACTGATTAAAATGATTATTTTGAATGATTTAAACTATGATTTTAAATTAATACAACGATAATTATGAAATGATTCGGATTGATGAATTGTACTGTTAAGGATATCTAGAAGAACTCTATGATATACCCATTTGGAAATTGATGATGAACTATTAAGGATATCTAGAAGAATTCTAAGATATATCTCTATTGATGTTGGTTTCTAATACTATCTAGAAGACCTCTAAGATAGATTAGAAATAGGTTTTGCAGGTACGATGCCCGGTGGCTAGGGTTAAAACGTACGTACGGGATCCAAGAACCAAACTTTAGTACCTACTCGTTTGGGGGTACCACACAATCCTACAGTGAACACTACGCTGTTGGTTTTTGGTTGACCTTAAGTGAAGGTAAGTTTAAGATTTGAAAGCCTGTTAAAATATGTATATCATAAGCTAGGCCTAGCTTAAGGGTTAGTTAAGAATGTCTTAAACTAGAATAAGTTTAAGAATTGATTTGGCCTTAGACTAAGAAGAGTTTAAGAATATTGTTGAATACAAATGTTGAATATTGAATTTGAATGTTGAATATGAAAACAAATGTTGAATTTGGAACGATGAATATTGAATAATGAATATTTGAACTGAAGTTTATGTGCATGATATCAAATGGTTGATTATGAATTGAGATTCAACTTATGTGGATGTTCGACGCTTTAGATATGCTTACTCAGCTTTACTGCTGAGCGTGTAATGTGTTTGATTTGCTACACACTATTGAAACACGGGTTTATCATGTTTTCGTACTAAAGCCGTGTTCATATTTATGACAGGTTTTGATAATGCCAAACCGCTGTGAACAAGACAAGTTGTTGAATATACAAGGCGAGAAAAAAATATAAGAAGAAAGCAAGAGAACAAGAGCTAAAAGAGACCAAGAACGACGACCGTAGTCCTTAGCGTTGTTGAGTCGGTCACAATGTGATCAAGACTGACCCAAGCTTTGCACTTTGGCTCTTTAGGCTAAAACATTTTTTATTGCATTTTACATATCATCAAAATTATTTTTCAAACATTCTTAAACATATTAAAAACACTTGGTGTTCGCCCAAACCAAAAACCAAGCCATCCGGGGTTTGGTTTCAGAAACCGGCGTTCGATTTTCAGAAACCGGTGTTCGGCATTCGGTTATCGGCGTTGGTTTTTGGTGTCCAAACCAACTAAGTGGTTTTCAACTTTTTATGATTGGTTTTTACTTCTGGGCACATTTAAATAGTTTTCCACCAAAAACACTTCAAAAACCACCTTTCGTTTTTTGTCTTTTGATAAAAACCATGTGAAACGGCATAAACTTGGCTAGCCATGGCTTTTACTTAAATGAAGTATTTTTCGAGTCCTTTTTTGTGGGAATTGTTTTTTTAATGCATTTAAATGGTTCTCCAATCAAAACATCATGAAAACCACCTTTCAGTTTTGTCTTTTGGTAAAAACCACTCGTGTACGACATTGACTTGGTCAACCATTGTTTTTACCTTAACGACATGGTTTTCAACTTACAAAGCTTATTTTGACATCACAATACATTAGATAAGTGTTTTATATACTTAGTTTTTACTTTGGAGAACTTTGCATTTTTCGGTCAGGTTTTAGCGCTGGTCAGCTAGGCCATGGTTTCGGGCTAGCCATCTACCCAGCGATGGTAGATATCACCCATCCATGGGTAAGTGATCCGATCCCGGGATTCCAGAATCATGCCAACCAGCGATGGGAGATATTACCCAGTGATGGGTAAGCGGCCTTCAGCCCAATTGAGTTCTAGAACCATTCCAAACAGCGATGGGAAGCTCTACCCATCGTTGTTCAAGCCTTGGACCAATATAATCACAAGGCAGAATGCCCTTATCCAGCGATGGGGACCTTTACCCATCGATGGGAACCAAGCGATGGGAGGGCATACCCATCCCTGGTTAGGCATGACCGTTGTGAGTCATTTAAGGCTAATTATTTCCTTGTTTGAAAGTCAACCTCCCACCCAGCGATGGGAAGCATTTACCCATCGATGGGTAGGTGACCGTTGGCTTCAAAACTGAAGGAAAATTGGCTTACCAGCGATGGGTAAGTCCAAACATCAATGGAAAGCCAATATCCTGCAGATCCCAAATTTATTCAATTCCATAAATCAAGCCAATCACCCCTTAAATGTTTTGATCCATTGGAGCCTACTTTGGCACTATAAAAAGGGGTATTTTGGTCTGCTTTAATCATCAATTCACTTCACAATATTCATATTATCATTGCATCCAAACCACATTATTTTCCATAGCTTTCTAGAGCCAACTTGTGTGAAGTTTGAGTTGTTCTTGAGCGTATATATTTTACTCAATATCCACTCTTAAGGAGAGTCTTGTTCTTGAGTGTCTTAGTGTTGTATACACGTTAAGAGAAGCCTGTTTCCCTTGGTTGTACAAAGGAAAGGTATTTTCCTTCGGGTTGAAGTCTTAGAGTGCGGTATCTCCGAGCAAGTGTTGTTGAGGCTCGTGGGACTCGAGTTCTCAGATTGTAACGGTTTGATAAGCACCCGTAAGCTTAACAAGAAAGTAGTGTAGCTTGAGAGAGTCTCTCGGGAGACTGGGTTAGCCACACGTTGTGGTGAACCAGTATAAATCTTGGTGTGCTCCCTTTACGCTTTCTACGCTCTTTATCTTTCACGTTCTTAATTTTTTATTCCTACGATTTCTACTATCAAACGCTATTCACCCCCCCTCTAGCGTTGGTCACTTATTCTAGCAATTGGTATCAGAGCCTAACTCACGTCCAAACTTAACCGTTTGAGAGTAAAGCGATCATGAGTTCTTCTTCTAGAAATTTGTATGCAGGAATAGGTGAAGGGAAATCAACCACACGGCCACCTCTTTTTGATGGAACCAATTATACATATTGGAAAGAACGAATGAGAATCTATATTCGTTCCACGAACTTCCAATTATGGTTGGTTATCAAAAACGGGAAAGAGGTGCCGATGAACAAAGTCAGAGATAAGTTTATCCCCAAGACCGAAGACGAATTTGATGCCGATGACATCAAGAAAGTAGAGAACTACGCAAAATCGATTAACATGCTCTACTGCACGGTCAACCCCGATGACTACCGTAAGATCTCCTGCTGCTCAACCGCCAAGGAGATGTGGGATAAGCTCGAGGTGACGTATGAAGGAAAGGACCAAGTACGTGAAGCCAAGATCGACTTCCTCACCCAAGAGTATGAGATGTTCAGGATGAAGGAGCATGAGAAGATCGACGATATGTTCGACCGTTTTTCCAAGATAGTAAATGATCTTCATGCATTAAAGAAGACTTACACCGACATGGATCTAGTGTGAAAGATCCTACGGAGCTTGACATCCAAATGGCGATCCAAGGCCGATGCCATCTATGAATCAATCGGCACATCAAATGTCACCATCGATGGTCTAAGAGGTAATCTAAAAACTTATGAATCTACTATTCTTAACCCGTCTTTGAATGACCAAAGGAAAGGGATAGCATTAAAAGCCGTCAAAGAATCAACAATGAATGATTCAAGCGACGATGATGAAGTCAAGCTTGTCATGAAGAAGTTTTGCAAACTTCTAAAGAAGAAAGAAAAGGTTGAGGATGGCCCTGTGTGCTATGGATGTGGTGAAGCCGGGCACATCAAGAACAAATGTCCAAAAAGCGGAAGGAATGCTCGTCACTTCAAAAGGCATAGAGCATACATCTCTTGGGGTGGAGACTCTGGTGATGAATCAAGCAAACAAGAGGAAGAAGAGGAAGCAAATCTTTGTCTCATAGCTCAAGAAGAAAAGAAGTCCGCCAACAACGAAAACCAAGAGGTACTTATTTCTTCTACCGGTTCTTATTCTCTTGAAGAAATGAAAGAAGCTCTCCAAGAGCTTTATGACGAGTTTGTTAGCGCTTCTAAAACCAACAAAGCTTTAAAGAAACATTTTTCTAATCTTGAAACTGAGTTTGAAAAACTTCAAAAGGAAAACGAAAAACTAAAAAAGGAAAATAAATTTTATGGTAAAAGAAGCGCCGACAAACCCGAGAGCTCTACAAAACATTGTGACTCTTGCGTAGCTTTGAAAGAACAAGTTGCTGAACTAGAAAACGCGGTGAAGAAATTTAATAAACCACACAAGGATCTTAACCTCATGTTTGATTCTATGCAATACACTAAACAAGGAATAGGTTTTGGGAAGATTGATGAACCAAAAAATAAAGAAAAAATTGAGCACAACCGTAAACCACCTAGAGCTCAACTTAAGAAAGATAAAAATAAAAATAATAGACAATCTAGACAAAAGGTTAGTCATGAACATGAGCACTCTAGGTAACATAGGAGGAATTATCAAAATGATTTTATGAACAAAAATAACTTTTCAAAGAGACAATATGAGAACACCTAGAAATGATCCTTTTGAAAACATGTATAAACCATCCTTTTCTCAAAATAGGACAAACATGGTTAGATCCCCTAGCTATTACCAACTTAGGCATATGTTCAACCCAAACATAGTATGCCATTATTGCAATAGGTTAGGACACATAGCTCCTGTGTGTTTTACCAGACATAGGCATTTCACCTATAATGAAACACAGAACATATTTGGTGCTAACAAAAAGAAATCCTTTGAAAAAGGATATTCGAATCATAAACAATCTCCACAGGATAATGCACAAAAGAAACCTTATTATTTCTTCTACTTTGACGAAAAGAAGAAAGTCCACATTCCGTTACCAGAACCAACACAAATCACACCGAGATATCGGCACTCCGTTCAGGTAGACTGGAACCCGCCAACCACGAGATCATGGGTTGGACAAGGTAACTCCTAAACGACCATCTAATCGTGTGTGTGTGCGCGCGTAAGGAAACGAATTTTGGGTGTGTGTGGGCAATAAAGGTTAACTAATCCCCAAGGATCCATAGACATTCTTTGGGTACCAAAGTGTTGTTTTTTATTTTGCAGGTACGTATGAAAGTAGCAGTTAGTCTTTGGGGTGTGATGGAATAAATCAAAATGGATCTCTAAACTATCTGCGCTTCTTTAATTAATGAAGTAGCAGTTAGTCAAGCAATGCAACTATCTGCGCTTCTTTTATTTTGGCTTTGGGGTGTGATGGAATAAATCAAAATGGATCTCTAAACTATCTGCGCTTCTTTAATTAATGAAGTAGCAGTTAGTCAAGCAATGCAACTTTCGACGTTGAGCCGGGGGTCTCTTTGGAAACAGCCTCTCTACTTTCGAGTTGGGGCAAGGTCTGCGTACACACACCCTCCCCAGACCCTACTCTTGTGGGATTTAACTGGGTTGTTGTTGTTGTTGTTGTAGGTACGTATCAAAGTGAGGAACTCAGGGGAACCAGCGATGGGTGGTTTATCCCATTGTTGGGAAGGAAGTATTTTCTAACCAGCAGCCCTCTTCCCATCGATGAGAACTTCTTCCCATCGCTGGGTGTTTGACACTTTTTTTTAAAAAAAATTAACGGATTTCTAGTAGCTGTCTTCCCATGGATGGGAGAACCTTACCATCGCTGGGAAGGCTGCCTTCACTTTCTCCTCCCTCGCCAGTACATGTCTTCGCATCGATGGGAGAACCTTACCATCGCTGGGAATCCTGTTGCAGTTCAAAAATCATAGCCGTTGGGTACCTCATTCAATGCCCAACAACCATATTTCTGAACACCAAGGACCCAAATTCTCTTTTCCTATAAATATCAACCATTCTTGGTCATTTTTAACACACAATTTACATTCCTTTTGTAACACCCCAATCCGTATAACCCAGAATTACACGAATTAAGGTGAAACGAAAGAAAAATAAAAATTTCGCTTGACATTTGAAAATGACAATTTCTTATAAATATTTAATTTACAGACTCTGGATCGCGACCCATTTAAAAAATACTTTCAGAGTAATGCGGAAGTACAATAATAATCAAATCATGACACATTTTAAAATCTGATTATCAAACATTTGCCTGCCATCCTTGTATCTCCTCTGACACAATGCCCTCCGGGAGTTATTCTGTTCTTGTCTTCTTGTTACCTACGTGTAAACACGAAAAAAATACAAACTACACGCTCAGCGAAACCGCTGAGTGGTACCACGCTAGAATTGTAGAATAATTCACAGAACATATACATATACATATATATACATCCATAAATGTATAATAATATTCATGATATGGCACATTATGTCATATGATCAATTTGATGATTCATGATGATAAATATTTACTGATAATTACATGATGGCACATTTATTCAATTTAATTGTTCTTGATGATGATTACATGATACCTATGTAATCAATATAATCATTCTTGATGATGATTACATGACACCTATGTAATCAATATAATTGTACTTGATGATGATTTCATGCTGCATGAACCTATAGTCTGCAAGGACGACCCTTGCGCTATGAGATTCGCCCATTTGGTACGACGAACTCACGCGGCCTTAGTCTCACAAGGGAGACTAGAAAAATAGGGGTGGTACTCGAAAGCCTAAGTACCATGTACGTACACTAAGCCCGGTCAGTGATGTCGGACTGCTAAGTACCGCACAATCACAACTATAAGAGACGCACTAGGCATGATCTCTTACGCATGCATATGATATGATATGCTTTAGAATGGATGATGAAATGAATCTTATGATATAGACAAATTGTAAGCAATATGAATATGTAATCATACATTAATTTATTTGGGTGAAACATGGTAAAAATATCATTTAAATAAGCTACGGGGCTCGGAACAGTCGACCATTTGGCGCGACGGTCGACCTTGAACTTCATCTTATCGGATTGCTGCTTTACCGTGACGGTCGACCGCGGTTGACCGGCGGTCGACCGTTGTTGACTGGCTGTGGATGGCGGACTTCGGCTGGCTGGCGGCGGTCGACCGTTTGGCTGACAGTCGTGGTCCGTTTCGATGTTTAACGCGACGGTCGACAATTTGCATCGACCAATTGGGTCTGCGAATCTTTCTCTTGATATTTTGAGTGTCCAAAATACTTCTTTAAGTCTTTTAAACACCTTTGATTAACATATACATATTGCTGGGTTGATTTCCAAGGTTTATATCTATTTATGTGTATATTAACTTTATGGATTTGGTGTATTTTGATCTCAACATTGTTAGAATAAGTGCCCTTCACTAGAGGGGGGATGAATAGTGAGGCACGAGAATGTTTATAAATTTTCGCGGAATAAAAATCGCAGGGATAAAGTAAAGAGCGGAATAAAAAGGAGTAAAGGGAGCACACCAAGATTTATACTGGTTCACCACAACGTGTGGCTAATCCAGTCTCCCGAGAGACTCTCTCGAGCTACACTACTTCCGTTAAGCTTACGGGTGCTTAACAAACCGTTACAACCTGAGAACTCGAGTCCCACGAGCCTCAA